CCCCATCTGTGAACGAGCAGGTTGGAACAGACCTTTCTGAGGAAAACTCCAGAGGATCCGGAACAGCTCCTGGTGGGAAGCAGACCACCAAGCCAGGGCCCCTGGAGGGAGCAGGCCCTGCGTTCCTCTGGCTGGGCACTGGTGCCCACCTCCATCCTGCCCAGCTGGGAGCACCCGAGCTGTGTAAGGGCAGCCGACGCAGCGAAGGCAACACTGTGCTTCCCACTCCTACAGCCGCCAGGGTCCCGGCATCCTGGCTGCAGGGCCCAGGCTGTCCTGGCATCCTGAGCCATGTCGCCCCGGAGCCGAGCCTTGCCCCACGCTGCTTGTGAGGGCACGCCACGGGTCTCCTGCCTCTGCTGGGAGCACCCTCAGGGGGCTGTGTTCCTCTCCCCCAGTGAAGAGGTCAAAAGAGGAAGAAACTGGGGCCAGAGCAGACAGTCTCCTGCTGATCCCTGAACAAAGTCAGCCCAGTTCTGCTTCGGGCTTTTCTCACCTCCCTCTCTCCAACTCCAGACATTCATCTACCCAAGCCCTCCCTGTCCTTCTGTGTCAGTTTCAAGCCCTCCCTGTCCTTCTGTGTCAGTTTCAAGCCCTCCCTGTCCTTCTGTGTCAGTTTCAAGGCCCTTTCCTTCAGCAAGCCTTCCCTGACCACCCAAGCCTCACAGCACTGAATGACCACATGCTCTGTTTGCCTACGTGACACAGTTATGCATGGTTTGAGGTATTCTGTTTTCCCTTCGTGTCACATTCCCCCACTAAGTGGAGAGTTCCTAGGGGCTGAGGATTGAGCTTTTTCCACCTGCCAGAACCTACCCAATTAGCTAGTGCCCTCTCTCAGTCAAATAATCTGAGTTCAGGGACCCTCAAGGTGATGGAGGTCTAACCAGGGAGCTTCCACTGCAATATGAGGAGGTCTGATTTCTCCTAGGGTCCTCTACTGGGTTCTTGGCTTCTCTGATGTTGGAGGCTGGGATGGGGACACCAAGGCCCAGGGTCTGAGGGCTCTGATTAGCCTCATTCCTGGTCATGGGGAGATCTGGGATAACAGTCCAGGTCTCTAGACTCAAAGCTCCAATGTCCTGATCGGCTCTGACCACTGGGTGGCCTCAGGCAAGTCTCCTCACCTCTCTGGGCCTTAGTTCCTCCTTCTGTCTAACAAGAGGGTCCTGCAGGATCCGACAGTCTCTAGCATGGGACTTGGCCCTAACTTTGGGTGCACATAGTAACGGCTTACATTGCCTGAAAGGGTTGAACTCCAACCCCCTCCATTTATTACAATAAATGGCACTCAAGTGACTGCAAGTTGATCATTGTGAGGAGGGGCCTTGAAGAAATCCTGATGCATTTGTAGCTAGGGTCCCTGTCTGATTGCATCTGGTGACCACACTGCATCTGCGCCATGCTCAGCCAGGGGAATCTGTGGGACCGCTGCATCCCTGGGTGTCCCCAAGGAACTAGCGGGCAAGCCGAAGTAGCCACTGGCAGGTGCAAGCATTGGCAATCAGCCCATTCATGCAGTGTGTCCTGCTGGGGGCCCCTGGGAACCACTGAGTCCAGAGCAAGGGAGGCAAGGAATAGGCATGTCAGAGGGGGCCAGATGAGGTGGGGACAGCCTCCTGATATAGAAGGACAATTGCCGAAGCTGAAGCCAGCTCTACTGACCCAAGTGAAGGCAGAGTTGGGTCATCTTGGCTCAGGTTATGCTCAGCCCCGGGGAGACTCCCTTCCTTCCCTCCCTAATGTGCCCACCCCATCTTGCTCATCTTTCGAGGCCAACCTGTAATCCCCACTCCTTTTCCAGGAAGCCTTCCCTGACTGCCTGCATGTAGGACCTGCCCTTCCTGGGGGTGCCTGAGTCTCTCTGTGGTTTTCCTACATGAAGCCCTTGTTGAGCACTAAGTCCTGCCTTTGAGTATTACATGCTTCAGGTCTTCAGACCACCCCTGCCAGGTGAGTACCATGTCTCCCATCATGTGGACGAAGAAACAGGCTCAGAGAGGCAAAGCAGCTTATCTATCCAACCTGTAATATCTGACGCCAAAGCCTTCATTTCTCATGTCCAGACCAGACTGCTCTTCCTAGGCATACACACTCCTGCAGATGCCGCTCAAACGTCCTTATGGCAACACGTCTTGTGCCCTTCCTATGGCCAGACTCTGTGGGGGGCCCTTCGGGGATGACAGGGACGAGGAGACTCTGGTCCCAGCCTGACAAGAATCCAGATTGCAGGTGTTTTCCTGAACCCAAGGCAGAGGCTGCTGTGTGTGGGTAGGTGAGAGGAGGAGGCAGGGGAGTGGGGATCAGAATGGGGGGTGCTGTTTAGTTGAAGGGGGTGTCTAGGAAAGCTTCCTGGAAGAAGTGGTATTATTGGTCCATAAACATCCTGAGTTCAAGTGGTAGAGATGAGGGAGGGCGTTCCAAATGGAAGGAACTGCAGTAGTAAAGCCCTAAGAAAATGGAGCGATCATTCCACTGGTTTGTGGAGCAGCAAAGGTGAAGGGAGGGAGGCTGGAGGTGGGCAGGCTGAAGTGGGCATCTTGCTACCCCAGGGGTCCTGGACAGAGTTCCTGATGGACTTCCTCCTCCTGCATGTGACATAACCAAGCCCAGGACCTGCTTGGCACACAGTAGGTTTTCCATAAAGACCTCTCAGTCTCTTCTGGTCTGCAGAGCTGACCTCCCCTCAGCCCACAAGCAGAACTAGCACCTGCCAGGCCCCCTGCCATGGACAGGTCCTTCTCCGTGGGCTGCAGCTTTACCGGTCCCTGCCACTCCACCCCTTCCAGCACAGGCACCTCTGGCCAGGTGGGAAGCCCAGGCTTTGGCTGCCAAACATGTCAGTGTGCCTGCCATAGAAGGCCCCAGTTCCTTGGTTTATCCCCCCACGATCTTAACCTGTGGCTGGAGCCAGGTGTCAGGAGACTGAGGATGCTGTGAGCCTTGGAGGTTGCAACATGTAAACTCTTACTACCCGTTTACTCTTAATTACCTCCCCTCCTTATTTGTCTTCCTTTAACGGCCTGTCAACCAAAATCTCCCGCCTTTCCCTCGGCACCAGCGGCTCAATTAGGTGCACATCTGTGGAGGCTGGAACTGAAGTGCCCAACTACCAATACCTACTCACCTCACCCAGCCGAGATACAGGTGCCTGATGGCCTGGGTACTCTTCGGGAGCAGCACAGCCATCCTGGGTCAAGGGGCAGGGAGGCTGCCCCTGACATTTCTCACCCTGCCACTGCAGAGTTGGAAAGGTGCCTACCTAACCCCAGATGGCACCCAAGAGGGGTGACGCCCTGGTTTCCTGGGGCCATGAACACAGGCATTTGTCCAGCAAACAGATGGGGGAGGATGCCACAGGCCAGCCCTGCCCTGGGCATAGAGGAGACAGAGATGCTAGAGATAAGCATCAGCTGGAGGGTCTGGGAAGGGGCTGGTTAGCCCAGGCTTGTTGACTCTTCTATGCAGAACACACTCCCATTTTGTCCAGCCTGGAGGGACTGCCCTGCCTGAAGCTGGTGGTGGGAACATCTGGCACAATCAGGTGTCTGGCTCAGTGAGGTCCTGCTTGTCCCCCACAGAGCCAGCCCGGCTTGGCCTCCCAGAATCCAGCAGGCACCTCCTGTTCACTAGACCCCAGGCTTCTCAGGAGTGTGGGGCCCAGGGCACTGCATTCCTCTGACAATGTTTGGGGGGCCTCCTCCTTTGGAGCCTCTTGACAAGCCTCAGTCTGGACCCAAAGGACTCACTCAGGTCAAGTGAGGAGAAAGCTCCAAAGCTGTTCCCTTGTCGAACCCTGGCTTGTGAAGGTGGGGCAGGGCTGGAAACGGTCCGGGTAGGATGGGAGCAAGTAAAGGTTGCCGGGAGACCTGGTTCCAGCTCCAACCACGAGTGCCTTGTTTTACCAAGCAGTTCACTCCCATTCTCACTTCAACCTGAAAATGGGATTGGGCACCCCAAAACCATTCCCAAGGGAGGAAACTGAGGCTCTGAGAGGCCCACAAGCTGAGGAGTAAGAACTGACACCAGCTTCCCAGCCTTCTCCCTGCAACACGAAAGAGCAAGGGGCCTGCAGGACAGAAATGATTTCGTGCAGGGATGAGTTCCCAGCCAGCACTGGGAGTCTAAATAGAGGCTCGGCTGGCCTTGGGGGGCTGGAGCTCGGGGCTTGCCTGCACACAGTGCCTGCTTAGCCTAGGGAACTGAAATAAGTGGCTGCAGAGGGCTGCTCCTGCCATTCTCCGCCCCTGACAACCGTGCAACGGGACCCAGGTTCTCGCTCAGGGAGCAAGGAGACTCGCGCCCTTTCCTTCTGTCAGGGGCTGGGGACCTAATTTCCCCTCGGGGGCTCTTGAAGGGGGCTGCTGCCACCGGGGGTGAGTTCAGCGCCGCAGCCCTCTCCTCCGGTCTCCGCCGAAGCCTGCCATTCCACCATTAAACCGTGACTCCAGGCCTTGAGCTTGTTGAAGGTCGAGCCCTCAGAAGGGTCACGTCTGCGCCTGCCCTGGCCACGGGGCCGGGACCCTTCCCGCGGGGGCGGCGGAGAGCAGCGCGGGTCGCTGGCCAGCGGGCAGGGCGCACGCGGGGGCCGCGGCCGCGGCCGGGGCGCAGGACGCCGCGCCTGGGCTCCTGTCGGCCGCGCGGGCCAGCAGGGCAGGCTCCGGGCTGCGCGAGGACGGGGACGCGCGGGCACGGGCGCGCGTGGCCGCGGCGGGGGCGCGCGGGGGCGGGCCGGCCGGGGGAAGGGGAGGGAGCCGGGAGGGCGGCGCCGGCAGGTTGGCGGCGGCTGCTATTTGAGCGCCGGTCCCGGGCCGAGCGCTCAGAGCGCTAGGAGCCAGCGCGGCGGAGAGATCGCGGTGCGCAGCCGGCAGCCCGCAGAGGCGCTGCGGCCCGTGGCGCCCCGGAGGCCGCGCGAGGAGGCGGAGGGAGAGAGGCCGGATTGCCGCCCGCGCCCCCAGCCCGGCGCCCCCCTCCCCGCGCGCCGCATCTTGAATGGAAACATGGCGGTGCCGGCTCGGACCTGCGGCGTCTGCCGGCCTGGCCCCGCGCGGACCGCGCTGCCCTGGCCCCGCCGCGGCCCCCGGCCCGGCCCCGGCGCCCCGCGCCCAGTGTTGCTGCTCTTGCCGCCGCTGCTGCTGCTCCCGCTGCTCGCCGCCCCCGGCGCCTCAGCCTACAGCTTCCCCCAGCAGCACACGTAAGTGGCCTCGGCCCGCCGCCGGACCCCTCGGCCCCCGCCTGCGCCCCGCTGCCCGCTGCGCCTGGGGTGGCATCCCCAAGCCCAGAGGGCGGGCAGCCGCGGTCCCGGCGCTTCTGGCTGCGTCGCGAAACTTCCCCGCGGTGCCCCTTCTCCCCGCACCCCCGCACCGAGCAGAGTAAGATCTGCCAGCCTCGGGATGGGGTGGTGGGTCCGAGCTTGCCAGCCGATTTCCTTGCCGCTGTCCCGCTGTCCCGGTGAGAGGGGAATCTGGGCTCAGGCGAAGGGACGGCCGGCGACCCCTGCCCGGCGGAGCTGGAGCCGTGCCTCTGCCCCGTTTCCTGCTGGGTGGAAACCTGGCGCTTTCCAGCCAGAGGTGTGGGGCACCCCACACCTGTCTTCGTTGGCCTTTTCCTTTGAGGAGGAGGGCGGAGGATGTAAACACCTGGTTGTGGCCGGTGCCACAGAGGGGCTCCGTGTCCCCTGTTCTTGGCTGTCCCACTACACCTGAGGGAAGGGTGCCCTGATGAGCCCAGTTGGGAGGTGAAGCTGTCGGGTGGGGGCAGAAGGTGATCGGCAGGGAGGACCCCTGCCGCCCCTGCTGCTGCCCCAACAGAAAAATAGCGTCTCTTGGGCCTGCCAGCTTCTGCCGATTTTCATGGTCCTTCTGAACCTCTCTCCCTCCCCACGAGCCTCGAACTCCGGCTTCGGGGGAGCTCCGCCAGATGGATCTGGGGCTGGGGGTGAGCATTCAGTGCATGTGGCCTTTAGGACAGCAGCTTTTTCTGTGGGCACCGTGCCCCAGCCTCTGTCAGTGCCCAGACAGCCCTTGCCCCTGTTGGCTTTGGGTCACAGCAACCACTTTGCTGTCTGTTATCTGTCTGTCAGCTCCCTGGGGAGCCACCTGTCCCTGGTCTCCTTCCCCAGTGGCCAGGCGGAGGGTTTGGGAAATGAGTGGCCAGGCTGTGAGTGGCCGAGGGGAAGGGTCTGGCCTCAGGGAAGGGGGGAGGCTGGTGTGCATCTTAGACCAGTCCCACCGAGGACAGGAGCTCCTGGTTCTGCCTCAGAACCTGCCGACTCCAGCTTGCAGCTTTGCCAGCCGAGGGACAAACTCGGGAAAGGCACCGCTCCGAGTCTGTCTTCCTCTTGTCATCTCTGTCTTTGCACAGCCTGACTGTGCTCAGGCGGGTGATCAGTTGTCAAATTACAGGTGCCGCACGGACGTGTCCTCTCAACTGTCTGGATTTTTCGTGTGTGTATGTGGGGGGTGCGCAGGGAGAAGAGAATCACACAGAAGTTCAGGGTTTATGGGCGCGTTTTTGTCTTTCATTTGCTGTGATGAAAATGGACTTAAGCCACAAAAGAGCAAAAGCATTATTTTGTTGTTGTTCTTTTTTCCTCAAAGCCAAGCCCTAGCGAGCGGTTTCATAGATCCTCCAGTGACGGTTTACACAGATGTCTCTTTTCACCTCTTCCCACCTCACTCCCTCTCCTTCCATGCTGCAGGGGGTCAGACAGTGTGGAAGGACAGTGTGCGACCCTGACCAGAGTGGACACCTGTCCCTCTGTCCCCAGCAAGAAGATAGCGAGGCGGGTGTGATGGCAGCGGGTACGATTTCCAGCTGGACGCTCTTCTCTTGTAGATGGAGTTGGAGCAAATTTGAGGATTTGGGAGATGTCTTGGAAACCATAATTAGAGAATGAGGTGGGGGTAGGGTGAGGGCTGCGCAGCTCTGAGGGTCCAGGGGGAGGTGACTAATGGTGTGACGACATACAGGGCTTACCGTGACAGCCAGCGCCCTTCAGCTGCCCTGGTCCTGCAGATGTGATGCCCATTGATCCTTGGAGGGAGGAAGGGGAGGGAGTAGAAGGAGGTTCTCCTGCCCCGGCCCCCCATCCCGCATGACCACTGTGGCTAGTTGGAGTTGGGGCTTTTGTTGAACTGACATAAAGGCTGAGGCTGCTGCCTTGGAGCTGCTGGGAGTGGGGGTGGGGGGTAGCCTCCCTGAACTCTTCGGGGTCAGTGTGGCCAGGCTAGATGAGACTTGGCACAGGTGGCTTTCTGAGGTGGGAAGTGGAACCTTCAGCCTCCTGGCACTGGGGTGACAACCCCTCATTGGAGAGGGCCCCAGATGGGAAAGTCACGTCCTCATTAGTGTCTGGCAGTGCGACAAGCCCAGCTTTTCAAGCTGCTGGGCTTTAAGCAAGTGTGGGCCTGGGGTCTGGTGGCCGTTATTTCTGTCATCGCTCTGACAGCGCGGCTCTGTGCCCACCAGGCGAAGCGGACCAAGGCTGCCGCTGATGGGGAGGGCAGAGGAGTCAGAGCTGGAGGGAGGTCAGGGCTTTGGTTTGGAGAGGGTTCTGTTCACCCCACCTGGACCTGGGTCAGAGTTTCGAGTGAGGCGGCCACATGTGTGCAAGGGCATTTGTGTACATACCTGCACTCGTGTGGCTGGGGTGAGGTGGAGTCAGCACACACGCCTTCACCTGCTCCCTCCTGTTTCCCATTATGCTCACCCCAGCGTGCTGGCAGGTGGCAGGACTGGTGGGAAGGCAGGCGCTGCTGGCTGAGGGGCAGCCCTCACTGCTGTGCCGCTCCTGTGTCTTCTCCTCCCCCGTCCTGCCGTCTCCCTTCCCTCCCCTCCCTCCTTCAGCTCTCATCTTCTCTCCCCTGCCCTTGCACTTTTGTCTGTCCCTGCATCTCTCTGCCCACCCTGCCCTGCCCACCTCTTTTGTCACTTCTGTTGGACCTCTGTCCCCTGTTCTCCAGCATCCCTGGGTTTCTCTGGCCCCTGCTCCTTGGGGTCCCGGCTGAGCTGCCCGCTGGCTGCCCCTCTTGGCCCCGTCCGCCCCAGTGATGGTGCTGGCCAGCGCTCCCTTCCTCTGGGTGTGGGTGGTGAACAGGCAGGGAGCAGAGAGGAGCCTGAGGGGTCTGGACGCCCTAGCAGATTAATGACAGCTGGGGTATGTGCTCCTTTTCCTGAGTGCCTCGACCGGGCATGCGTCAGTCTAGCTACGGTTAATGGTGGGTGACGTGTGTCTGTCTGGGCCTCTGAGCTGTGTCTGCACTTCCCTGTGACTCTCCCCATTAGAGGGAGGCAACATCACACATCTGGGTCCCTGTCTCCCCAACAACCTGCCGCAGCTTTTCCAGCAGAGGAGGGGGTGAGACGCGGTGGCCTGCTGCCGCTGCTGACATGCGGACCTGCCAGGTGCCCACATCCCTCCTGGGGTTGAGGATTTGGGGGAACACTTGGCTGCTGTCCCCCCTGGGCCCCGCCTTTATGGGGCACCTCCTCTGGCTAGCTGTGTCAGGCTAACCCCTAAGAAGGGAGGGAACCCATTTTAAGATGAGTCCCCTTCTAGTCTTCGGGTGAGTCTCACTCTGGATTCTTAGTCACACTGGTGTCCCCAAGGAGAGACTGAGTCACAAGTGGAATGAACATTTCCGTGCTCTGAGCCTCCTTCTCCGCTCTGCCTGTGTACAGGTGGGCACTGCCAGCTCTTGGCACCTCAGATGTGGATTGGCAGACCCTGCCAGCCCCTGGGAGGAGGCAGTTTGGAGGCATGCTGGGTATCAGGTGTAGGCCCTGTGGGCTCATTCTTTGGTCTTCAGAGTTGACCCTGTCCATTGGGATGGCCTTGCCTCAGTTTCCCCAACTGAGATAATAGAATCTGCTTAAGATACTGGTGGTGAGAATCAATGGAAGGGGGTGTGGCCTGTGGTGGGCAGGGCAGGTGCCAAGTGTGAGCACCAAGGCAGCTCTTGTAACATTAGCACCAGACCCTGATGCCCCAGCCGGCTGCCCCCCCCCCCCCCAGTCTTCCAGATACCTTGGGTCATGCCACTAGCTCAGGCTGTACCCGTCCACATGGGATGTCAACTCCTTGAGGACAGACACTGGCCCACCTCCTTCCCTCACTCCGAAGCCCAGCTTGACTGTGGTAGGGGATGTCGCCAGGCTACTTAATGGTGGCTTCCCCGCACTTAGCCCAGGCCAGGCCTCTTACCCACATTACCACTTGACCTAAGAACACCTGGTCATGCCCATCCCCAGATGGGGAGACAGACTGAGAAAGATGAAAGGACCTGCCCAAAGGCCACCACTGCTGGCGCAGCTCTGGGTGAGGGCCACTCTGTCGCTTTGCTGCCCCGCCAGGGGGCTGGGCACACCTGTGCAGTGGGCCCAGGAAGTTGGCAGTGGAGACTCAAACCTTAATCTTTGGAAGAAGACTTCAGATGTACGAAGCACATCCAGGCCTCCTAGCTGTGACCTGGCTGCTCTGTCTCTCTCCTCTGAGGGGCCTTCCTCGGCCCACAGCTTCTCTGGTACCTCCGTCCCCTGGTACTCGCGGCCCACCTCCGTCCCCTTCTGCATTCACAGGCGATCATGGAGCCCCCAACTCAAGTGTTCCTTCTCTGAGACACTGAGTCATAGGCCAGGAATGCCTGGCATGGAGGGGTGGGCAGCAGAGACTCTCTCTCAAGCTGCCGAGATGCCATCTTCCCCTCCAGACTCTAGTATGATTCGTAGGGTAGGGGCGGGGTTGTTATTGGAAACCTGGGCTGGACCCTCTCGACCCTTGGCATTTTCATCAGGCCTCAGGGGACTTCAGAGGACTTGGCCCTTATAGTATAGACTCGGGTTTTCGTGCTCTCTGGACAGGTGGGGCCTAGCGGCTGGGGAACCAGTTTCTAATTGCTAGGAAACTATTCAAGGGGCGGCTGGAGTTCTGGGAATCAAAGTAGGCAGGCATGAGGCTGGGCCCTGTCTGGCAGGGTCGTGTTCCCTGTGGGTGGGGGGATGGTCTCTCTCCTTCCCTTTCCAGCACTTCCCACAGCCCCCTCCCCCCACGCCCCCCACCCCCTTGCTGCTGTCCTCTCTGCCTCCAGATTTGAGATCGGCTCTAGAAGTGGTGAGCTCTGTCTTTAAGGCCTGGTTCAGGGCCTCAGCCTGGGAGGGAGCACGGGGCCGCGGGTGCTCGGGGGGGGGTGGGGG